TGAGTCATTGGTCTGTTTCCAGGCCTCTGGCTTCTGCTACACCATCAGTACCGACTCCCCTCGGATACCCTGTTGTTGCCCTGTGTCATGGAGGTCCTGCTGCTTCGGATCTGTAGGACTAGACTCTTCAGGCATTCCAGCAGTTCACAGATGGTGTAGATGCTGGGGTGGATCTGGGCCTGGGTCAGCCTGCCAGCTCTCCTGCTTGTGGCTGCTGGCAAGGGGTGGCACAGGCTCACCGGAACTCATGCCAGTTCTCCAGCACCATCCCGGCTAGGGGCAAGCCCAGTTTTCCCAAGAGCTGCTGCGGCTGGGGAGGGGCAGGCCCAGCTCTGTGCAACCCAGGGATATCAAGATGACCCCAGACCAGGATGGACACATGGTGGTAACAGGTGCCACAGACATCAACACAGACCCTTGCTGCTTAAGACCCAGACATGACCCTCAGCGGCAGCACAGGCCAGGACCTCAGCATGGCCTCAGGTGACTGCGCAGGCCGCTCACATCAAGCGGTTCTTCCCTACCCTTGCTATTCCAGTTCCTCCTCTCTTCAGAGTGCACAAACTATTCTGTTTCTCTTTCTCTCCCAACTCTCCAGCACTTGCTTGTTCATCATGGTGGCACCACCTGCCTTCCACTGTCTGGCAGCTGGACCAGTGTCTCTAGGTACCTTCAGTAGTTTTTCTTATTTTAAAAGCAATTTATTTTCTAGTTCTATCCATTTGCCTGCAAATTTCATGGTTTGCTTGGTTTTAATAGCTGAGTAGTATTCCATTGTGTAAATGTACCACCGTTTCTTTATCCATTCTTCATTTGAGGGACATCTAGGTTGTTTCCAGATTCTGGCTATTAGAAATTAAATAGTTATGAACATAGTTGAGCAAATGTCTTTGTGGTATGGTGGAGTATCTTCTGGTATAGCTGTGTCTTGAGGTAAAACTATTGCCAATTTTCTGAGAAAGTGCCAGGTTGATTTCCAAAGTGGTCATACAAGTTTGCATTCCCACTAGCAATGGAGGAGGGTTCCCCTTTCTCCACATCCTCTCCAGCATGTGTTGTCACTTGAGTTTTTGATCTTAGCCATTCTGATGTGTGTAAGGTGAAATCTCAGGGTCATTTTGATTTGCATCTCCCTGATGACTAAGGAAGTTGAACATTTATTTAAGTGCTTCTCAGCCATTACTGACTCCTCTATTGAGAATTCTCAGTTCAACTTTGTACCCCATCCTGAGTGAGGTAACCTAGATCCAAAAAGACTCACATGGTATGTATTCACTTATAAGTGGATATTAGCCATATAATACAGGATATGCATATTTCAAACCACAGACCCAAAAAAGCTAAGTAACAAGGAGGACTCAAGAAGAGGGGTGCTTCAATCTCATTCAGAAGGGGAAATAAAATGGACATTGAAAGTGGAAGAGGAGAGAGAACTTGGTGGAAGAAGGACTGAGGAAAACAAGAATGGGTATCAGGTGTGAGGAGAGCAAAGGAAGGAGGTGAGAGGGCTGGAAGAGAGAAAGAAAGGGGATGGGGTCATTTCTGGGAAAAGCTGGAGACCTATGATTGAATAAGCTCCTGGGAGAATATTGGGTTGACTCCAGCTGAGTCTCCTAGCAGTAAGAGGATATGAAGATGGAAGTGGCCACCTCCTACATCCAGGCAGGACTTCCAGTGGAGGGACTGGCACATCAACATGCCCACAAAACCTTCGACCCAAAAGTTGCCCTGCCTACAAGATGTGCAGGAATAAAGATGGAGCAGAAATTGATGGAATGGCCAAACAATGACTGGCCCACCTTGAGACCTACCCCATGGGAGAGAGCCAGCCCCTGACACTATTAATGATTCTCTGCTATGCTTGCAGACAGGACCCTAGCATAAATGTCCTCTGAGAGGCCCTACCCAGCAGCTGATAGAAACAGACACCGAGACTCATAGCCAAATATTAAGTGGAGCTTGGGCAGTCCTGTGGAAGAGTTGGAGGGAGGATAGAGGGACCCAGAATGGACAAGAATTCCACAAGGAGACCAACAGTCAACTAACCTAGGCCCATGGGGCTCACAGAGCCTGAACCACAACAAAAGAGCAAGTATGAACTGGACCTAGGCCCCCTACATGTATGTAGCTGATGGGCAGCTTGGTCTTCATGAGGATCCCCTAGAAATTGGGGTAAGGGTTGTCTCTGACTCTGTAGACTGCTTTTGGGTCACTTTCCCCCAGCGGGGCTGCCTTGTCTGGCCTCAGTGGAAGAAGATGTACTTAGTTCTGATGAGAATTGATGTGCTGAGACATGTTGTGGGGGGTAGCTCCCCTTTCCTGAAGAGAAGGGGAAAAGGAAAAGGGGAAGAAGGTGGGAGAGGGAGACCAGGAGGAGAGGAGGGACAGGACTGTGACTGGTATGTAAAGTGAATAAACAAATTAATTAATCAGAAAAAAATCAATTTATTGTTGGTAGAAAATTAGATATAATTCAAATCATCTCAATTCTACCACCCATGGATAACTTCTGTCAGTATTCCTGACATTTTCCATTTATTTTGACTTGGGTTTGATAGCAAAATGATAGATAGATAGATAGATAGATAGATAGATAGATAGATAGATAGATAGATAGATAGATAGATTAGACTGAAAGAGTATGGGCTGGATAGATGGCTTAGTGGTTAAGAGCACTGGCTGCTCCTCCAGAAGACCCAAATTCAGTTCCTAGCACCCACTTAGTGGCTATCAACCATCTGTAACTCCAGTTCCAGAAGATCTGGTGCCCTCTTCTGACCTGGCGTGAGGGCACACACATGCTGCACAGACATACATGCAGATGAAACACCCATTCACATAAAATAAAATTAGTAAAAATATATTTTTTCTAAATAAATAAAACCTATTAGTTACTATGGAACTTTTCAAATAGGTTTACACAAATGTGAAACAATAAAGCTGGGGTTATAGAATACTATTTAGTTTATACTTTTTTCTTTTTCAAAACAGGGTTTCTTCTCCCCTCCCGTGTGTGTGTGTGTGTGTGTGTGTGTGTGTGTGTGTGTGCGCGCGCGCGCACGAGTGCACGCGCCTGGTGGATATTGAACCCAGAACTTCCTGTATTACACCCCTGAGCTACACCCTCTTCATCCATTATATCTTAACATTCAGTATTTCCAAATATACCTTTTCACTTGAGTCCCTTCACAATATTTTGTTTTCTTTGTGGAAAATTATATTTATTTATCTATTTATTGGGGTGGACAGTGAATCTGTACCTATATAGGAGTCAAAAGACAACTTGATTGAGTCAGCTCTCTCTTCCAACATGGGATTGGACACAAGTTAGCTAAGGTTATCTTTACCTTACCTGCTGAGCAAGCTTGTCAACCATCTGAAGATTTTAATGATGCTGCTTTCACCCTTGCAATGTAGAAATTCCACCAGTTATATATCAAATTATGTATCAAACTGAATAATTAGTCACTTCCCTAATTTGTTTTTTGGTTTGGGGGGTCTTTTTTTGGTTTTGGCTTTTCAAGACAGGGTTTCTCTGGGTAGCGCTGGCTGTCCTGGACTTACTTTGTAGGACAGGCTGGCCTCGAACTCAGAGGTCTGCCTGCCTCTGTGATCTGCTGTGATCACAGGTATGTGCCCCTGAACCTGGCCACTTCTCTTATTTTTAATGTCCTCTTTCCAGAGTCTTCCTGCCTCATGGATAACTGTCCAGGTATTCTCTTAGTCTTTTTCTCGTATTCTTTTTATTTTTACATCATGCCTCAGCCTTTGGGGAGATTTCTGTTGTCACCTTTATCTTCTGCATAACTAGCTCCGTTCTCAGATGTACCTATTTAATTTCGTTGACTTCTTTGAAATTTTAGAATTAATTTTGGTAATCAAACTGCCATGATTGCACGCCTAGGAATGCTTAGTTGGGATTATTCCTCTTGACAGGAATTTGTTTTTTATTTATAAACATGTTGTCCTCCTGAATCTCACCAGGGTTTCTAATGAGAATGCATCTAAAGGGCCTTCTTTCTACCATTAAATCACTTTCTCCTAGAGATGGGCAGCTTTGCTGTGCAAGGTTAACTCGTTTTTCAACGGATGATTTTGGCTAATCACCCAGCTCTCTTTGTGCTTTCATGTTCACAAACAGAAGTCAGCTTGCCTTGGGCTTCCACTGGGTTGTGGTTTGGAAGATCTGCTGACTATAGTGTCTGGTATGTGGCACAGAAACAGAAATATGGCTGTTGTATTGAAGGGAAAGTAGTTAATATGGCTAGCAGGTGTGAAGGGTTTTTCCTCCTCCTTTCTTTCTAGAGAGAAGTGAAATTGAAAGATTTTACTGTGTACAGGAAGATGATTGAAAATAAGATTTGTAACAGGAGAGACAGACCAGTATGATGGGAAGCAAGACCCCTCTGACAACAACTCCCCTGGCAAAGACTAGAAGACTGGCCTTTCCCCAAGAGTAGAAGCCTGCATCTCTGTGGGATCCCACAGAACTGAGAGACAGCCACAAAAACATAGGAATAATAAACTGTCCTTTATGTTTGGGACAGGGGCCAGCACTGTCCTGGCAGGCCACTCAGGATCCTGGCCAGATCCCTAACTGCCTTATTACTCAACACCCCAGCATGAGGCCTAGGCCTTTCAGGTCTCCCTCTCATGTCAATTTTTAACAAGCAACGCCTCTGCTTCTTTGCCAGCACTACTGAGGGCTGCAGTCTTGATTCGCCTTGTATAGTATCAGAACTTCTTTTAAAAAGCTGCTTGTGGCAATGCTCAAACACCCTGGAAAAGAGCAAGCATAGAAGATAGGAAAGAATCTTCATGTGCTATCGCCCAGCTTGGCATGGTCCAAGTAAGGGGTACCTGTGTGAAAGTCAGAGGATAACTGTCAGGAGTCAGTTTTCTTCTTCTACATTTTGTAATCATGTATTTATTTGGGGCGTGGGCGGTACGGCACCAGTGCCACAGCCAGGCTGAGAAAGTCAGAGGACAACCTGCAGAAGTGCCCTTTCTCCTTCCACCATGTGGGTATCAGGAACTGAACTCAGGTCTCCAGGCTTGGTGGTACATCAGGAGCCACGTTCCCAGTATCTGCCATGAGCGTGCAGTGGGAATGTGTGTGCTCTGGGCCGTGGGCTAACGGACATACAAAAGATAGGTGCTGGACTACAGGATTACTAAAGATATCTGGTAACTCCCCACGATGGTATCACAGGGCTGCTGCATTCGTTCATAAACACTGAAGGTGAGCAAGCTTAACCATGTGACAGAGAGTTGTTTGTTTTTTAACCTTCTGGTGACTGTGCAGTTTGGAATTGAACCAATGTGTGTGTCCGCAGAGTTTACACTCTAAACTAATTAGAGACAATCTTTAAATTCTGCTCTGAATACCCTTGTTAGACTGATGGTAGTTACCAATGATCTTTGCCACTAAAAATATAAAATGCCCAGTCTTGCTGTGGGTTCAGATTTTAACTTACTTTGACAAGGGATAGGAAATAGGAGCAAACATTTTCCATAGAAAATGATAAGGAAGAAAGGGACAGACTTGTCCAGATTTTGAGACAAGGCAATTTCGGCTCCTCCCTGTGAGGGGACAGGGATTTTCGCTGGGTTGTGGGCAAAGCCTGGGCCCTGCAGGGTCCCTTCAGAGGCAGTTGTGTGGCTGCCCCCAGCCTGCCTGTCAAGGCAAGGGACTTTGAGCAGGGCTGTTACTGGCAGAGAACAAAGAACATGATGACCCTAGAGCCCTGGAAATACAGCCTCTGTTTCCCTGGGAATTTATCCCTTGCTTGTTTCCCTTCCTGGGAATGTGGAGAGGATGTCATGAGTACAATGTTCTCACACAGCCTTTGACTGACCGTGCCCACAGCCTTAACTCGTGATGGAGAGGAACGAGGCCTCCTGTCCAAAGCCGCCATGTTCTCCAAAGCAATTCCTAACAGGCTTTATGTAGATGGGGGTAGAGACAACTTATAGGCCTGGGATATAGCCCTGGGCCCAGCATTTCCAGGACAATGTGTTAGAATGTGTTCTCAATTGCACTTTATAGCAGGTTTAAGGAAAGTGCTCAGCATAAACACGGTGCCAGGGGCACGGCAGTGTGTGCCAAAGGTGTGCTTGACCCAGTCTGTGTTCTTGAGACCAGCCACAGTGATAACAACACAAAATAAGCAAGAAGCAACTGTCAACCTCATCAGCTGTTTAGCAGACAAAGGCGGCTATGACTCCAGAAGATGTTTTTCTTTCATCATCAACAGCAATAAATCACTATATAACCTAACTTTGCTCTTTCTTCATACTCAGGGAAATAAACAAACCTTCGACCTGTCTAAGCCCCATCAGGGAGCCACACTTTTTGACATGTATTTATTGCTCAAGCTCCAATATTGTGATATTTCAGACTTTCCCTCTGCAAAGTCCCTTTACAATTCTTGTTTTCCTGAGGAGAATATTACCAGTTAATCCAAGAAAGCTTGATACAGCTCTCTTAGCTTAAAACTATTCCTGGAATATTCCACACTTTCTCATACTGAAACAGAACTGGGAAGGAGCATGTTGGAGCTTTAGTAGACTTAGGTTAAGGTTCTCAGTAGGTCTGGAGATAGGCAGGATCTGTCACTTTGTGCCTCAGCTATACCTGTAAAATGGGAGCAATAGGTTCCCATTCATAGGTTGGTTGTACGGAGAAGATGCAACATTGAATGTAAAATATATAGCACCTTATCTGTATTCAGGAAGCCCTAAATCAACAGTGTTATTACTCTATACCATGTAAAAACCATTTCTTGAACAGTCAAGAGCGCCTACCATCTCAAGTCTAGCATCTAGCTGACTTGGATTCTAATGCACTTCTTCACCAGCTGCTGTTAACTTTGATACTTAACTCTTTTTTTTTTTCCATTTCAATTCTTTTTCATTAGGAAGCAGTTGGGTTTCTTTTAGTGTTACAGTCATGTGCTTTTTTGGAGCAGACCCTGGTCTAGAGGCACTATATAAAGATACTGGACACGACTCTTCCAGGTGCTAGCCAAGATGCTTCAGGGAGATACCAGGAGCTCAAGTTTCTGAGCTGAAATGGAATAAAAATATCCTTCCTCAGGGTATAATAAGAATGCCAAGGGTAACAGACTAATGGTGCCTTATAAAGTATAAAATGACACAAAAATTAAGACAATCACCTCCTTAAGAGAAATAAGGACTCAATAGAGGAAATAAAATTAGAAAATTTCAAAACTCTGAAAACATGTAAAACATTTAAGACTCTACCTTAGAGTTGGGTGTGGTGGCACACGCTTATGAAATTCTAGCACTCAGGAAGCCGAGGCACCAAGACTTTGAATTGAAGGCCAGCTTGGGATACATAGCAAAACCTTGTTTTTTTTTTTTTTTTAAAAAAAAAAAAAAACAAAACACAAAATCTAGACAGAATGACTGAATTTCATGCATCTATAATAACTCAATTAGTTCATGGTCTTTTGGGAAAGATACCCACAGGGGCACAGACTAACTTTTAGCTAAACTTTACTTCTAAGTGTCAGGCCAAATGTTTTTGTTGCTGTTTGAGGTGGGTGGGGGGCAGTGGTTGAAGAGAACACCTTGACATTTCGTGGGTATTTGGCTACTTGCAAACTTAAGTTGTCTTCCTAATAAACCCTCTCACACAAACAGAAAGATCAGATCTGAAACAAGGTGTCTCACTCACTGCCTCCCTGTTTTGTTCTCTGAAAATAAGTTCATGAACCTATCGATAGAACATAGCATGCTAGTGTTTGAATTTACATTAAAAATTGTTACTAAGCCCAAAATTCATAATTATTTGACTCCTCAAAATTGTTGCTTGTCTCTTTTTCTTGTTCCTTCTTGCTCCTTCTCCTTTGCACTTTAAAGAGTATACATCTTTCCTATTTGAAATTATGAAGTGACTTATGGCTGTAAAAGAATCTGAAAGTTCAAGGTATGAGAAAGGCCATCTCTCTTGCCTAAACCCAATGCTTTGGATGCACAGTTGTGGCTCAGATCCTCTTTCTGTCACATAGTTGTTCTCTGTATTAGTCAGAGCTCTCTATAACAGAATGAAATTATATCACAAAGGAGATTTATTAGCTAGCTTTGCATGATAAGGGATGGAGAGTTCTACATTGGCCTACTGGAAAGACTGAGAACTCAGTAGTTGTTAAGTCGATGAAACTGGGCATTTTGGTGGTCCTGGTTCAGCAATGAAGGCATGGAGGTGTCTCTCAGAGCCACTGGTCTTCAGTCTATACTGAAAGACTGAAGGAACTGAAGTGTGATGTCAGCAAGACTAGAAGCAATGGAGACTGCTTCTCACCAGTGAGAAGGAACATATCAGTGTTCATATCTGTAGCAGTGCCATGTCCCAAGTGTGGGAATTTCCTCTAGAAGAATCTGTCTGTCATAATTTATTCTGAATAATACTTCGTGTCCTACAAAATATTTTCCTTTCTATTTTGGCATCTAAGCATGTGACTTCTGCAGAAGTTGACTCCAGTTCAAACCATCATGTTTGACTTGGAGTAAATAGCACATTCTTCCAGAATGTGCTTCTAATTTTACACAATATCACTGGGGAAGTTATTCTGTGATTAGAACCTCACTTCCCAGACAGGGAAACACCAGCTCTTCAAGACTGCCTCCGTCAGCCCCAGTGCACACTTGAGAGTCCACAGAGGAACACAAAACCAGCCAGTGTGGTCTTCCTGTGCTCCCTGTGGCCCTAGTCAATACACATGCCCTGGAACTGTGTGGTGCTATCTTGTGACTATTGCCTTTCCTGTTGGCACCTCCTCCTCTATATTCAGTGTCTGTTCTTTGAATGAAAGATGAATGCTCACCTACCACTCACAGTAGACTCTCAAATGTTTGCATAAGATTTTAAAGATGAAAACCAAGATATTGGTTCTTTGAACTACTTCATATTCACAAAGTCCCCTTGCTCCCAGAAAGAATAATGTCCATGTGAAGGCTGCTTAACTTTCCCTGTCAGGTTGGCGATCAAGGAGCAGAATGAGTCATCAAGGTTACAGATGTGTTCACTGGAATCAGGCTGCTCTCTTCAGTTCTGGATCCTACACCACACAAGGACATCGGTACACTCTGCTACACTCTCTCACTCTGGAGACCCAGAGAAGACCATCCAGAGGAAGGAGGTGGGAAAACTTCACTACCAAGAAACCTGGCAGGAGCAATAGTGCTGGGTCGCCTCTGTCCTTGGAGTGCATGTACAAATATTTAAGACTGGCTTAGGGGCAAAGATGAGGTGGTTCCTATCTGCCTGTAACTACAGCTCTAGAGGACTAATGGCCGCCTTCTGACCTCCACAGGCACAGGAACACACACACACACACACACACACACACACACACACACACACACACACGGCTTGAGAACAAGGGCCAGCCAACCTCAGTGTAAGTATGGAAAACTGAAAAGCTATGAAAAGCTCATCGCTGTGGGTCAAGCCTGGCATGGTGGCTCACTACCTATAATTCCAATACCTAGGAGACTGACCCAGGAAGATTGCTATGAGCTTGAGGCCAGCCTGGGATATACAGTGAATACTAGGCTAGTCTTGACTACAGAATGAGTCAGCACTCCCATATTAATTTATATGTATAATTTATATATAATAAGCCAATATTTCAAGTACTGAAAGAAAAATATTGTCTATACATTATATAAATGCATATGTGTATATATAAATGCATATATATTGATATGCAGCCCTACGGTATGCTAGACAAAGAAAAGAAAAGAATATCAGAGTGGTTCTAACTAAGCTCCATACACCCAGAAAGCTACAGGAAGTGTTGAACATGTTAAGTGGAAATGCTGATGGTACATTTAAAAGATGCAGTGGACTTTCTGAAACGAAAATTATAGTATTGAAATTAAAAGTACACTGCATTGGGCTAAAAGCAGATTACATGGTATAGAGAACAGTAGCAAATTCAATGACAAGGCAAACAATTAAAAAATAAACAAACATAGCAGGAAGACACACTCCAAAGTAAAATAGCCTTCCGGGCACAGCAGCACATACCAGATTCAGATAGCAGTGTTCAGGAGGCTGAGGCAGGAAGAGCACAGGCTAGACAACAGTCTGCCCTACAAAGGAGCTCCCTTGTGCAGCAAAACACGAACTCAAAAAAGCTAGCTAAGTAACAGAGCAGCTGAACCATGGGAAGCAGCTGCACCCTGATAGCCATGCAATCGAAGTCTCCAAAAGGTAGGGGAAAGACGAAGAAATCACATCTGTGACACGGCTAAAAGAAACTTAGAGGTTCGTCTAGCACAAGGCACATGGAGAAATTACAGCAAGACATTGCACAGCCAAATTTCTAAAACTAAATATGTAAGATAAAAATTCTTAAAATCAGCCACAGAAGAAGTAAAGATGTTTATATTCAGAGGACCAGTTAGTAATTATTTTAACTATGTTTTGCTGTTGTTATTGGAGACAATGCAAGTAAAAAAAAAAATATGAAGCAATATTTGAAGTACTGAAAAAAAAATTGTTTCCACCCTGGGCAATAAAATATGTCAACAGTAAAAGTGAAGCTGGACATAGGATGCACACACGCACTCAGGAGGCAGAGGCAGGGGCGTGGCAAGGTCAAGCTAAGCCTGCAGGGCTTAGATGCTGCTTCTAAAGAGCATGGCCTGCAGGGCAAGCTGCGTGGACACCTGATGAGCCATGGCATGCCTGTGGAGGTCAGAAGGCAAATGTCAAAAGCTGGTTCTCTCCTTCCGAGGTGGGATCTGGGGATCAAATTCAGGCTCCCAGGCTATGGCTTACGTGGAAAACTCGGCTTACGTGGAAAACGCTTTTACTGATTGGGCCACCTGACTGGCCCTGAAATTACAGACTTTAAGCTGTTGTTTACTTTATAGCAATTACACTCTGTCGAGGCTATGGAAATTAATAATGAGAGAAAGGGAATAAATGGCTACTTGGTCAAGGCATATAAAGTAATGAACAGAATAAGAGGTACAGGCAAAGTCAAACCAACAATAAACACGCTTTAGAAGCATAGATACACCAGTGTAACAGGGCATACCTTTAATCCTAGCACTTAGGAGACAGAGGCTGGCAGGTCTTCATGAGTAGATGCAGGAACATGCCTGTGAGTTCAACGCCATTCTGGTCTACAAAGTGAGTTCCAGGCAAGCCAGGGCTATGTAGAGAGACCCTATCTCAAAAGACAAGCAAAAACCAAAACAAAACAGAAATGAAGATATCAAAACGATACTGAATCCCACTATTTTATTCTTGAATGTACATATATAAAAATAAAGTTTAAAGAGAAGTAAAAACTACCAACTGCCATTAAATATAAGGAATGTGATTGGTGCATTAAAGGACAGGACTGAGACATATCCGATATACAAAACAACAGCAACAATGACAAAGACATGAAACCAATGATAAAGTTGAGAGGCAGGAGGAGGCCAGGACCAACAGAGAGCAGCAAATACACATTAAGTAGAGCAGAGACAACAAAATAGCCCTGCTTCCTAAAAATTAAATTTTTAATAAAACAACCATTTGTCTTAGATAAGCATTAAAACTTGGGGTACATGGGCTAAAGAGATGACTCAGAGCGTAATTCACCTTGTCCCACAGGCATGGGGACCTGGTTTCAGATCCCTGACTTCCCTTTAAGTGCCAGGTCCACATGGTGGCCCACGCAATGCCATTCCCCAAGAAGTAAGAACCAGATCCCTGGAGCAAGCTGGCTAGCTTGAGTGGCTGAACTGATGACCTCTGGGTTCAAGTGAGGAACCACGCCTCAAAAGGCAACGTGGAGAGCAACGGAACCCACCTGATGCCAGCCTCTGGCCGCCACGTACACTCTCACACAAGCGTCTTCTCACCTGCACACACACATGAGCACGTACCCAGCTTCGGAAACACGCACCAGCACCCGCACTATACACATACATACACATGCAAAAAAATAACTGAGGTAGTGAGCACACAAATGGTGGTCCAAAAGGGGGGGTTTGAGTTGATTTTTAAATCATCAAGATATTCTAATTAACAGTTTTTCAAATGTATATTGCCATACCTGGAAATTCCTCAAGTGCTATGGCTTGCTTAGAGGGCACAGTTAAGCAGCATTACGATGATTTTAATCTCTAATCACTAAGACTAATTACTGACTCTAAGAAGATACATATATTGAGAGTCTCTGGGGACAAATTACAGCTGTGGTGGAGCCATCTGCTACATTAGTGAATTATATTTTGGAAAACACTCACAGTATTAGTTTAAGGTCATTATCTTGATTGGTGGCCATGAGATTCAACAAACCTTGCCTAAGAGTCACATCTGCTCTCTTCCCTGTGCAGGGGTGGGATTTCCGGACACCGGACTTGTGTGCTGTTGTGGCAGGACAGACGGACAGGAAACAGGATGTGGGCATGAAAGGGGAAAGGTGCTCTTCAGCTCGGAATCTGGGTGAAGCCTCTCAACAGCTGAGAATCAAGAATTACAACACTGTCCGTGGCATCCATTTAAGGCCTTGTACTCACCTGTAAACCTACAGTTTTTAGGATCTCTCTCACCAGAAACCACACACAGTAAAAGACGGGTCCTCAACCCCCTGTGCCACCGAGCTGGCTCCTGGTGGTGTCTTATCAGAACCCGATGTGTAGCCACCACGAGGACTCTTGAAACACAGCTCTTCTTTCATCAGCCCATACCTGGGTTCTCAGGTGTGCCTCACTCTTCCCTGGGTGCCTGCCTTTCTGCTTTTAATAAATTCCAGCTCTGGCTCGTATTGGCTCATCCTGAAATTCCTTCCTGCATGGAAATGGAAGCCCTGGATCCAGCTTTTCTCTGAGTGGTTGTCTATGAAAAAAAAAAAAAAAAAAATCAGGCTTCTGGTGACAGTGTGAAGCTGTCACTTGTTCTCATGCCTGCCTTAGAGTTTCCACCAGAGGGAGCTGGAAGGTGAGTCCTATCTTGGATGTCTTGAAGGGTTCTCTATAAAATACTAAAACCCAGTTTGTACTTACTGTTTGGTACCAACGAGGGGATAGTAAGAGATGGGGTTCGCAAGCCTAAGTTCCTTGGTCATCACAATCACCCAAGGCTTGCCTGAAGCTTTTAACTCTGTAGTCTGTGACAGGTGCCAGAATCATTAAAAAAAAAAAAAATGTTTGCCTAGTGCTGTGGGGATAGGGGAGAATCATTCTCTCTAATTCACTTGATCCTCTAGCTCTTGGCTGTTGCTCTTTCCATCTTGGGGGCAGTATACAAGCAGATTTAGAAGGAGGAAAGGGAAGGGAGAAATGATATAAATACAATCTTTTTTAAAAAAATTAAAAAGGAAGAGAGGGAAAGACACAAGTTCTCGGAACTGCTTGAATGCTGAGCTCAACTCAAAGCATGGGTGTGAGCCTGGCCGGCAGCCCTTAGCAGTTTCCAGCTGAGCGGCCCTAGCCGCCTCACTGAAAACATACAGCATCCGATGAAGCAGCTGCTGGTTAAATTTAGCCTTGGTAAACTAAGGCCTTAGCTGGGTGCTGGAAGCATTGGGGTGTGTGAGTGGGTGGGTGGATGGATGGTTGGATGGATGGATGGACGGACGGACTGATGGATGGATGGGGCAGGTGTGATGGCCTGGGCTACTTCGGCCAGTGTGATGGTGATGGAGATACCTGGAGGGGTGAGTTGGGGAGCTCTCCTCTCTCAGTGGCCACCAGCCTGGCACAGCCCTTTGGCAGATGCCAACTTGGCATATGTCCTAGGGAAGCATGAAGAAACAAAGAAAAGGAACTCTGGGGACAGTAAAGAGCGGCAAAGCAATGCCCCTAAGAAAACTGCAGTGGTAGGTTACTCAGTAATCACATCAGCTGAGTACGATCTTGCACGGGGTCCACAGACTCTCCATGTGACCCTCTGGCCTAGCTGTGTGTCACAGGCCACCTCAGGTCCTTTATGTCCTCATCAATCCAATCTGCTTCCTCAGGGAACTGTTAGAATGTGAACAACAGCGGGCTTTAAGTTTTCTTGGCTAACTCAGTTATTGTCACTGAACCTGGAAGGGGTGGGGGACAGAGGGACAGGTAAAATATAGTCAGCATGAATCAGCTAATGAAGAGAGTGTCTCTTGTGTTAATACACTGAGAATCAAATAAATGATACATGCATGGAATAACTATAGCTAAATGTTAAGAAATTGTCTTCCCTGTTTGGTTAGATGAGAAATAATTTATCTACTGGGGGCATCCATAAAGATTAAATGAAGGAACCCAGGACGGTATTTGACGTGAGTTAGCTCATTTCAATAAATGCTGAGTGAACTTAACCCTCAAAGGGCCAGGTTCCTCAAGCGGTCAGGAGAGGCTACTGCAGGACAGTCCCTCCCACCTCACAGCTTGCCACAGTCTGAATTTGGCATCTGTGCCTACGGGTTGCCTGACCATCACAGGGCCACATTGCCACCTTCTGGCCATTTGGGACACTTCAGTTGTGCTGCCATTTGAGCCAAAGCTCATGACCTGCAAATGGACCTGCATTGGCTCCCCCGCAGGCCCAAGCTGTGCTGGGTGAACTGGACAGCTGTTGCAGCAGGTTATCCAGGACTTCAACAACCTGGCTTCCAGTCTGATAAGCAAGCTATGGACGCTGGGAATCGATAGTCTGTTTCAACCCTAACATACAGGTGGCTGGCCTTGATTACATTGTGGAATCTCCTGTATACAGACCCCAACAGCCAACATGCAGACAGGTGGTCAGGCTCACTCTTTCAGAAAATACAGAGTATCACTTTTGCCTGTATAGGTGACAAAAATCAGAAAGCCACTTACCTATTCCTGGGTGAGTGGCTTATTCCTTAGATGCTGTTGGTGGTTAAAAATATAAATCATCAGACCGGCATGGCAACGCTTAATTCTAGCACTCGGGGAGGCAGAGACAGGTGGAATTCTGTGAGTTCCAGGCCAGCCTGGTTTACAAAGCTAGCCCAGGACAGCCAGGGCTACACAGAGAAACCTTGTCTCAAAAATAACAATAACAAAGAGTAAATTATCACAGAACTCAAAGAAGCTGGCACCATATAGCAAAATGTACCACACAGCATTCAACCTACCACCCCTGGGACCAGATACCCGAGGGACAGAGCACCAGTGGAGGGCCATGTATACGTACAATTGTTTCTCCCAGAATGCCTGGCAACAGAAGCACTGGTAGAGAGAAGGCTGTTAACAGTCCTGTGGAGTCAATGCTGATGCATCAGGCCAGGTTGATATGGCTCCGTACCTCGAGTAAGAGGAATGAGGAAGCCATACCACAGTTGGAATTTAAGGCATGAGATATTGCTTTGTAAGGATAATAAGAAAGCAACAATGTTCATAATACTGTGCTGTTTTTGAAAGTACAAAATGACAGCATCGTGTGTGTGTGTGTGTGTGTGTGTGTGTGTGTGTGTGTGTGTGTTTGTGTGTTACCCTGATAGAGTAGTATTGTACGTTTCAGCTAGCTGTCTCACTCTGGCTGGGTGGTCCTATTGGCTGTTACACACCATGACTATCACCCTGCTGTTTGTTATTTTAAATGAGTATATAGAAATATAGGTAAAAGCGTCTTAGGATTTCTTTTGCTGTGATGAGACACCGTGACCAATAGAGTTTATTTTTCTTACAATTCCACATCATTGTTCATCCCAGAAGGAAGATGGGGCAGGGACTCAAGTTGGGTGGCAACCTGGAGCCAGGAGCTTATGTAGGGGCTACGGAGGAGGGCTGCTTACTGGTTTGTGTGTTGTGGCTTGCTCAACCTGTTCTCTTAGAGCGCCTATGACCACCAGCTCAGGGGTGAAGCATGTGCCCTGCCCCATCAAACATAATTAGGAAAATGCTCTACAGGCTTGCCTACAACGACATCTTTCTCAGCTGATACTTCCTTTCAGAGGACTCTAGTTTGCATCAAGTAAACAAACTAAGCAAGCAAACTAAGGATGGGCCCACAGTGAGTTGTCTTGGAAAGGAAAAGGGACCTCTGTGGATATGAGAATAAAGAAGAAACTAATTTAACAAGGAAAAGAGAAAAAAACACCAAACCCTCTGTAACAATTATAAATTATATCTCTAGCTGTAAAATTATATGTGCGTGGCTTATGCCTACACAGTGTTTTCAAATCACAACAGTGATATTGAATCTGATGGACAGCCCTGAAACCCCAGCTACTCAAAACGCTAAGGCAGGAGGATCACAAGTGTGAGGTCTGTCTCAGACATGGAGTAAGTGAAAGGCCAAGAGGAGCACTTTCATGAGCCCCAGCCTCAAAAGTAAAAATGCAAGAAGATTTCTGGGTATAGCTCATGGTAAGATATTTACCTACCAGGGCACATGGTTCAAACACCAGTGAAGCAAAACCAAGTAAGTAGCTTTCACTCATCAGTCTTTTGACCGTGCTGTATAGCAAACCAAACTAAACCCTCGGTGATGTACTCACAGGCATCTCTCTCTCTCTCTCTCTCTCTCTCTCTCTCTCTCTCTCTCTCTCTCGGATCTGGAGATCAGTCAGTGTGGTCACACTGGGCTATAGATGCAGTTCTTTTTAGGTACTGTGAGTGCTGCTGTGGAGCCACAACCAGCTGGGGCACACTCTCCTAGTGGGGAATTGCATGCTCAAGCTAAGCCCAGTCAATGAATTTAAATCTCCAGGCAGCCTTCTTCACCCAGGTTTATTTTTTGATCCCCAAAGGAGTCCCACATCTAGAAACCCACATCTATCCCAACACTATAGGACAAGGAAACGAGGCGCTAAGTCAAAGGGCGCCACCCTCGGAAAGGATGAATGAAGCTCCGAGGTCTCTGTTATAAAAAGAGCAAGCTGGCCTCAGCTGTTTCCAGTTTCTGCTCTCTGAAGTGATTTCTTTCACAGGTATTCTCACTCTGGTGAAGTCATGAGATCCCCATTAAAGAACAAAGAATCCTGGCTTTTCAGCCTCCAAAATTTAAGGCTCAGTAAAGGTATTTTTTTTGTGAAATTTCTCCCTGCATGTATTTTGTTGCACCCACAGAAAATAGGAGCAGTTACACACGTGTCACTTGGAGGGTACAAATAGCTATTTCCTGACACAGAATGACAACAGATGTGACATTTGCCAGTGGGAGAGCATGAACTGGCACATTTCAAAAATGTATAACAATATGTCTTGAAACTTAAAACTAATGTACTTTTTTGATGTATAATTCCGCCCCTACAAAGAAATCTGTCTGTGATATACCCACAAAATCACATCAAGTAAAGCAATATTTGTACAATAAAATAAAATAAAATAAAAACTGGAACAGATGCCTGATTAGCCAAACCTTGTTTGTATTAGTTACTTTGTTGTTGCTGTGACAGAATACCTCAACAAAAGCTTTCTTTTGGCTTACGGTTGCAGGGAGGTAGAGTCCATCCCTGGTAGGAAGGCATGGCAGCTGGCAGGGAAGGCAGGCGGCAAGACAGGACATGGCTGAACAAGCCTCCTTTATCCACACACAAACAAGCAGAGAGGGGAGACAGGAAGTGGGCAAGGCTATAAACCCTCAAAGCCCTGCCCTGAGCAATGTATGTCCCCAAGCAAGTCTCTACCTCCCAAGGTTCCACAGCCATACTAACCAGCAGCTCCTACTGGAAACTCGTGCAGAGACAGTCTCAGTCAGACCACTGCAAAGCCATGTCCATTATACAAAATATTCTGCAATTATTTAAAAAATGCAAGTACTCAACTTATACATACCTATA